AGGGAGCAGGGGCAGAGGTGGACAGAGGCCCTGCTGAGAGAGGAGGTCAGTTTCCTGTGGAAAAGATAAATTCAGTCCCAAAAGTGTTATGGGTGGAATAGGAGGAGGAGGAGGCAGAGAAAGGTAGAGAAGCATCTGGGGCCGCACAGTTGTATCTGGTATGGGCCAGTGGAGGGCATCAGGGGATGAGAGGGACATTAGCACTACCCAACAGGTCACTGAGGGAGATTCCTTGGACCAAATGTCAGCATGAAAGAGACCTAGTGGTGGTGGGCAGACTCAGCCCAGAGGCTCACTGATCAATGAGCTGGTGGGTGGGTGGTCTTTAGACCCAGACCTGCTCCCCCCACTCACTTCCAGGACCCCATCTACCTAGTTCTACCCAGAAACTAGGTAGGCCCTACCCCTTGTCTCTTCATTCTTAACCACCTTGCCTGTTTATCTTCCCGAGTTTTCTATGCTAAGTGGCCTCCTTTGCTAACCTACTCTCTGTGTCACTTAGTAGCCTCTCATTTGTAATCAGTTCAGTGCATTCTAATTGTCAGAATAAATCAGGTCTATGAATGAGCTTTTTCATTGTAATGAAAGGTGTTAAATATTATCAGCTGTGGAATTTCTATCACCTTCCCTTGGATCTCAGAGAACCTAATAGAGGCTTCTAGAGGCAGAGCCTGAGCCTATGGGCTTCAGACTCCTGGATGGAGAGTGACAAGTGGGAGGGGACCCATTCTTTACTCTCCTATTTCACCACCTGATAACTACCCTTGATCTCCAGATGCCTTTACTCTTGGCCACATGTATCATCTCTTTCATCCTGATAATAAGTCAGGAAAGTCCTTTTAGGCCTTTTTGCAGATGAGAATATTGAGGATCAGAGAATGGGATTGACTTGTCCCAAGTCCTCTGCCATGCCAGGGCCCAAGCAACCTGGAGAAGTCAACCAGACTCACACAAGCCTTGAGGAAGTTTGGGAAATTCTCCTTCAGAATCTTCAGCAGGCCCGGCTTGTCAATCATGTCATCAGATTTTGCGTATTTGTGGAACGGGACAATCAAGTCCATCACGGACTGTTCAACTGGAGTATGGCTCATCTTGGTTTTCAAGGAAGCTGCCAGAGTGAAAGACGGGAACTTTGTGATCCTTCTCCCCAGGTGAGGGACCCTGTGTCAGGACAATGTGGTGGGAACTGAGGATCCTGTGAAGTGAGGATCAGTTGGGAGCAGAAGGAACTGTATCAGCCTAGGAGGTGGGATGAGATGCTCACACGGAGGAGAGTGTGACCAAGGCTGGGGCCTGGGCCCATGCAGGTCAGGGTCCAAAGGAGATGGAGGAGAACAGAGAAACCCACTGTGGACAGAACCACAGGAGGCAGAAGCAGAGAGGGTAGGGGTCAATCACATAGAAAAGGACTGACATTTTAGTTGAGAACTGAACCAAACACAGCATTTCGATGACTCTACTCTTTAAGAGCAGTAATACCAACTCCTCCAATGTCAATGTCAGGGTTAGAGTCATGCGGACAAAATAACTTCCTGACTAGTCTGGCCTCACCTGCGCTGGGTTGCTCTTGGAAAGAGACCCCTGAGGAGTCCATTGGAAACATAAAGCAAGCTCTAAATGAAACCAGTTCTGGAGGCTCCCAGCAGTCAGTGTGAGTAGGATGGTGAGTGTGGGCAGAGATATACAGCCCTGTCCTGAGCTCCTGCAAGTATTCCTGGACCATCCCAGGGAAAGAAGGCCTGCTGACCAGTGTTGGCATCATGTTTGAAATAAACAGGAATTCCTGCCTCAGTTTTAGGCTATTGGTTGGAAAGTTCGGAGATAGGCTCCTTCAGATGACCTTTGTACCTCCATGCTATCTGAAACCCCAAGGCTAGACCACATTTAAGTAAAGAGGTCTGACTACCCAAAGCCAGTACCTCCATCAACAGTCTGGACCCCAAGCAGAGAAATTGGACAGTCCAACCCTCACACCCCAGAGTTTCCAAAACTCTCAAGAAATGTGTATGGCCCACATGTTTGGGCATCTAACAAAAACTGTATTTTCTTATCATCAGGATAAAAAAACCTTGCTGCTAAGTCCCTACATGGAATTACCCAAAGCCTTCTGTGAACTTGGCCAACGTCAGAGCTGAGCCCTGTGAACAGAATGTCACTGGTCTTTCCCTCAGCTGGGCAAAAGGTCCAAAACATTAGTTGATGGGTTTCTGATCCATATACTGGCAGATCTTCTCACCATGGCAAGGTGAGTGGGAGTCCCAGGCTTGGGTTCAGGAGAACCTTCTGAACTTGGATAGAGAGACCCACTCTCCCTGGAGGTTGGGGTGCAAATTGAGTCTTCCCAACCTGTGGTCTGAGAGTTAGGTGAGTCCAGAAAGAAAAGAAGAGAAGGAGAGAGGAAGAGTCTTTTCCTCAGCTCCCACCAGAGATGTTTCCACAGCGTTGTTACACAGGGGCCAGTCCAGCCATCTTATAGATGAGATCCTCAGGACCCCAGTGGAATAAAGTTACACAGCCACCTAACAGGCAAAGTCCCATAACAGGCAGAGCCCCGTTACAGGTAGAACCGCATTACATCTGGACCCAAGCTCCTGAATCCTCTCCCATCACTGCTTTTCCCTACTCATGCAGACAGCAGAACACCCTGGGCCCTGAGGAATCTCCTGGCAAAGAGATAGGTGCAGACTTACCTAAGCTGATGAGGAGGCAGTGAGGAGAAGGTGAGGACGTGATTGTCCTGTTCCACAAATACACCAAACCTGTGCATCTGGGAAAAGACTGGTCTCTTTATAAGGCTCAATCTGGCTCCTCCCAGACACTGGGAGCCTTTGGGTCATATCTGTCTACTTCCTGGACCATTGTCCCAATCAGGTGGGTGGCACACATGTAGGAGTGTGTGTTCAGTATGTGCCAGTAAAATCCCAGGCAACTCCCAAGGGAAAACACCTAGAGCCTTCTTCTGTCCTCACTTCGCTGGGGTCAGGGGTGTGGAAGACAATGGGATGTGTTGTAAAGCACAGAAATTCTGGTACAGAAAACAGGTTCTGAACTTAAAGAGGATGGGACTCTGAGATGCATCATGGTCTGTGTTTGCTCATCACCCACTCCTTCCACAATTTTGTTCTGGCATCTAACACAAACTCTCTGCAGTGGTTTTTAAGTCCATAATTATACCACGCATCACCTTACCTGTCATATTGATATTCCTCCTAAAGCGTCAAAACCTTATGAGATGGAGCTGTTGCCCTCATGTTGAGGATGGGGAATTGAGGGAGTAAGAGGTAAGCAAAGTTCTTATGTGCACAAGGCTAATAGACAGAAAGTTTAAGATATGATCCCAGAAAAGCCTGATTCAAAACCTCACTCCTAACCCTACGACAAGACCTCTAGGGTCACTGTAGGGCCGGGGAACTCGAAGTCCAGGGTAGGGAGGCAGGGTCACCTCACTCCCGTCTTCATGGGAATCCTCACTGGAGCGCTAGGAGAGAAAGAGGTGGCATGACCCACAGTGACAGACCAGGGAACACAGAGAGAGTAGTGGCTCAGCATGTCACCTGCTGAAGGGAAGACGGGAGGTCAGAGCTCTGAGTCCTGGCGTTAGCCCCACACTCTAAAAATTCACTTCACAGCTCCATGGCCCACCGGGGCCCACCAAGGAAGCCACTGTCTAGATTCAGGGATGGTGACCACCATGAAATGAGCCAGCAGGAGATTGGGCAAAGTTGCCACCCCTCCCATGATGATGCCTTCCTATAAATTCTTCAATGATGTTTCTCCTTCCCTTATGCAAAACAGTCTGCTTAGGAGATAGTAGCTCATGCCCTGAGGTCTGTTATGTCCTAACCTGCTGTGGAAAATCGAGTTCAGGTGCAGGAAACAAGAGCTTGGAGGTCAGGATGAAACCTGGGGACCTCTGGGGCCATACCATGCTGACTCACTGAAGAGTCCTTGTTCCTGCTCTCTGTTACCCTTAGAACATGCTCCCATGGAGTAAGGGACTGCTCAGGCATTGGGCACCCTGGGACCAGGCCCACCGCTGAGCACCCAGGTCAGGGCCCCCAATGCACTGGCCTCCATGCTTCAGCCTGGCCTTTCTGTCCCCAGTTATATCCATATTTGCATCAGCACCAGACCCCTCTGGTTCACTCATTTAATTTCTTCTTTACCCCACTCAAAGCCTCCCAGGAAGGACACACAGAAAACCTGGAGCACGAGCTGACTCCGGGCAGGGGAAGTGAGATGGCATGCCCACTTTGTCCCTGGTGTAGGTTTTGAAATTTGAACAATGTCAAAATACTTTAAATTAGTTTTTAATTATTTTAATTTAAGTTTTGCTTTGTTCAATTCTGGCCTCACTGTCAGAGTCTGAACTATGTATAGTCCTCAGCTTCCAGAATCTAAACATCATTGATCTGTTGCAAGGTCTCTCTCTTATTTTACTTATATACTTATTTTCCCTTAATCTTCATTACTATTTGAACTTCCCCCCCAAAAGCCAAAAAATAAAATGTATGTTTTCTGTTTATTTTTATGCATACTCATGAATGTAAATGATTATTTTGGCCTATGTTTTATAGATGTCCTTTATGTGATATAGATCAATCATAAAGGAAAATAAAATACACTGCAATGTATAGCCCAATGAATTATCTCCAACACCTGTGACTGCCACCCAGGTCAATGAATAAAATATTGCCACCACCCCTACCAGTCACTGCCCCTTTTCTCTCTTCCTGAAAACAATCATCTGGACTTTTATGGTAAGGCTCTCTCTTTGTTTCATTTGAATTTTACCACTTAAGCAAATTTACTTGAAGGAGAACAGATTCTATATATTCTTCTATGTTTACCTTAGTTTGCTCAGTATTACATTTTTAAGTGATATCTATGTTGTACTGTTTGTTCATCATTGTATACTATATATCTTGGTGTAGATATCACATCATTTTCTATAATTCTGCTTTAGATATCACATGCCCTTAATTTTCTTGTTTTCCTTTTGTACGTTTTCCAGCTCAGGTGACCAGGGATTTTGACCTCTGACCTCATGTTCCTGTGGGGATCAGCCACCCTGTCTGGTGAGGTATGTGGAAAGGGCCCAGGGCAGTCCCTGATTGTGTAAGTCTTGGGTGTTTAAGGAATAAGAAGGGGATGAGCCCATGTTTCAAGGACCAACTTCAAAACAGCCCTGTTTATTGTCAGAGACATTAGTGTTTGCAACTATTGTGACTAACAGTCAAGTCCCACCCAGGCATCGCCCTTATCACTCACCACCACCAGAAAGGCTATAGGTATCTTCCAATCCCTGAATCAATAATTCTTTGGCAACATGGTCTACACATCCAGGTCAATCACTTGGAACCATCTCGCAAGCATTTACTGTTTATCCTGAGCCTCTCTTTCATCCATCCCAATGGATTCTGGACTCCAGCTGTCCTTGGCTGTTTGGAGTGGAGACCTGGACCATTTGTTCAAGGTACAAAATTTAAGAAGAAAACACTGAGCACCACTCACTGTACTTTAGGATGAACATATGGCAAGAGAAATTTTTTAAAGAATTTATCTCTCTCCAATGTTCACCCTTTAGAAGTGAAGAGAAAAAGAATAAAATAGAAACTGTGGATGCTGGAGATGTACAGTGACACACTGTATAACCCAAAAAGAGAGGGGTACTTTCTGAGGAGGAGAGGCTGACCAAGATACCTTAGATGTGGCATTTGAATGAATGTCAACACCTAATGTTCAAGCAAGCAAACCAGGGAAAAAGATTCCAGACCTTGACATGTGAGCAAAACTACAGCTCAGAACAGACATGACATCAGGAGGACAGAAACACGTCTAGAGCCAAGAGTGTTGGAAGTGAGAGGTTTGGGACAGGCACCAACTATGTCCAACCCAGTACCCAACCCCTCTTCTGAACTACAGAGCCCAGTTTTGCTTGGGGTTTAGGGTGCCCAGTACCCCCATGTGTGTCTGGTGTCCTCTAAGCCATTCTGACAGTCCTGTCCTTGCTTTCCCTATGCCCCTTGCAACCAAGAGTGAACATGTGTCCCACCAGTTCTGCCCAATGACACTGAGTGATGCTGGGCCAGGCTTCTGGGACTCTGC